TGATGGTGGAGCCAGTGGGGAGGTGTGAGCGTGGTGGTGAAGCACGTGGGATGAAACACAGCAGGACGCAGCGGGTGAAGGTGACGCTCACTTGACGACGGTCTTGTACACTGTCATTCTGTTTCTTCAGTGACCAGTTTTGTAAACGGGAAGGTTCGCCACAAAGAAGTTGGCAAAAGATCCGAGCGATCTCCTCCTCAGGATTGTCGAGGAAAAACGGAAAACTGAGACGTCAGACTCAACCCTGCATGCCATCATCCTGATGACCTTTGATGAAGGCTACTTGTTGCCCGAAAGATTTAACCAGTCGCCTCACGTAACACGCCTCCTGGGACACACACTCGAGATGCTGCTAGACCCCCTGCGAAGAATATTGAGATATTTTATGGTTATATTTCCCTGGTCATTAGATGCTGAATTAATACAGTTGAACAAATAGAAGAATTTCTCATGCATCATCAGTTCAACAAAACAATAACGTAAAGTTCATCATTGAATCCATTGATGACCTAACAAGTATTACTTACCACACTATAATCCTCCAGTGTTTCCACGTCATCAAAGTCGTCGGATTCAGGCATGTGGAAGTGAATTTTCATGGCAAGGCGGTCTACATCCACTTTCATGCAGCTGTTTTCAGCGGCGCTGTTTCCCTTGTAACATATTTGGTAATCCTACCAAGAAAAACGGTCATGTTTTGTAATATTAAGTATGTTTCACATGAGAGATAAACTGAACTGTTGTATATGTGATATAAAAGGTAATCATTTCTTGCTTAAACTTGCATATCAACAGCGTGTTCATACCTGAACCTCAGCCAGGGAGAAGCCTAAGAGGCAGGAGAGCATCAGCCAAGTGAACATGGTGTGATCTAGAAGGATATATGACTAGTTAAGTGTATGAAAGTGACAGATCTTGAAATACATCCATTTCCTAAACCTGAACCTATACATTAATAATAGTGAGAAACAGTCTGCTTTGGGGTTTCCAGGGTGAAATAAAGAGATGAAATAAAGAGGGGATTATTACAGGTACGAGATGAAAAAAAAAATCCATTATAAGAGGACACATTTATGCTACATAAAAATGTGTTGCATGAATTATACCATAGCACATTAGACGGATTATTAGACAGGTAAGAGGTATGAGAATCGTTACTCACCAAGGATAGCTACCACTGGTAATGTGAAATCGTCCGCGAAGTTTATATATCCCTCAGAATGCCGTACGACCTTTGGAAAGGAAGAACTCTTGTTCCTACTAAAGCCCCACCTGTGA